TGACTCATAACAACCCTCTATAGGGCTTCCAAGGCTGTAAATCTTTATGGGGGCAGAAAGCCCCCGCAGAATCAACACTAGAATGAGATCATGAAGGACCTTCCCCTAGAGTTGATTTGACCCTGAATTCAGACTTGTAGCTTCCAAAACTGAGAATATAAGTTTCTGTTCTTTAAAACCACCCACTTGGGATATCTTTGGTTACTATAGCATAGGGAATCAAGACAAGTATCTGTAAATTATTGGGAATTCTTCTGCACAGAAGACTTGGCTATTCTCCTCCACTTATTGATTCATCATTTATACCAGTGTGGACTCTTGGATCCTTATTTTCCATTTTGGATTTAAATGGAGACTACTTTATTTTGCTGCTAAAATTGTTCCAGCTTTGGCCACTGAGCGCTCTTACACTTGGCTCCTGCGTCCCCTTAAGACTCCCAGCATTGCACAGTGGGCTTTGTTTGTTTGGGGCTTTGTTGTTGGTTGTTTGTTTGAGGACTTCCTTATTTTCTGGCACTACAAGTGCTCCGGCTCATCTTGAATGAGCCATCTCTCCAAGGAGAACCAACCGTGCTAACTGTGCTGACTGCTACTAGAGAGGACCCTCATTTCTAAGCCACTTGCAACCAGTTGTTCTGTTACTTGTGGACAAAAGCATATTAATTGATTAGCCACAAATATCCGAGTAGGTGCTGGGTCCAATCTGGCTAGAAGCACAAGCAGACATCTTTGTAGAGTGATCATGGGCAACACCATCAAGTGACCTTTGGCTCCCAATTGGTATATTATGGGATTTAGAAGTGGATGTTAGTGGAGAGGAAGAGATAGAAATAATGACGCCTGGATATTTGGTTTTAGCAACTGGATATATGATGTTTTCTTTACTAAGCTGGGGATGGCGAGAGAACGGTCAGGTATGGGATGGGAAAATAAAGAAATCCAGTTTAGATATACTTCGTGCATTACCAGAGGTCCTGGTGTGGAGCTACAGGGTAAGCACTGGACTGCTACCCATCAGGCTCACTATGAGTCAGAACCTACTCAACAGCACTTAACAACAACACGGTGCAATGACAAGTTCTGCCTTTTGGTGTTGGCAACTGGACAGTTCAATTAAGGAGGAGAGCACGCTTGGCAGGCTTAGAGAGAGAGAAGTTCAAGGAGGCACTTGCATGTAATATGGCTAAAAGTGTTGCATTGGACCTTACTCAGGGAAGATTGCCATGCCTTGGGGTTTGGGAGGGGGCACGCTGAGCTTCCCTGGCATCTGCCACCTTGGAAAAAGCTGAGTACAAAATGGTTGGAATAGGGGCCAGGGATCGTAAAGTTGGGAATTTGGGGTTCACTTTCTGTTTGGCTCCTGGCTCACTGTGTGACGTTGGAAATCACTCTTCTCTGGACTTCAGTTTCCTCATCTATAAAATGGGAACACTACACCTGTCAGCCAGGGTAATGGGGACTACAGAGAACTAACAATGTGATGTTCCTACCATGATGTTTGGTCCAGTGTAGAATGCCTTTCTACTGTTATTGCAAAGTATTGCTGATGTTGTGTGCTGTTGAGTCAGTTCTGACTCACAGCAACCCTGTACAGAGCTTCCAAGAACAACTGGTGCATTCGAACTCCTGCCCTCAGGATTATCAGTCTAGTGCTTACCCTACAATGTATGTTGTTGTTAAGTGCCGTTGAGTCAGTTCTGACCCACAATGACCCTGTATAGGGTTTCTGAGGAGCAGCTGGTGAGCTTGAACCTCCGAACTTGCAGTTCAAATGACTTTGCAGTCCGGCGCATTAACCCAGAGCGCCACCCCAGGACTCCCTACAATGTATAGTGCACAGTAATAGGTGGTATAGTGCACAATGTGGGGGGTAAGAACATGGACCCCCAAGAGGCTAGTGGGTTCAAATCCTAGTTTGTACCCCCACCCCATTACCTTAGTAACTTTAGGTATCATTGAGCAAGTTACTTAATTACTCTGGGCCTCATTTTCTTTGTTTGTAAAATGGGAATATAATGAACACCTTCCCCAGAGGGAGTTGCAAGTGTGAGATGAATTAATACATGTAATACTAGGAGCTCTGGGAGTGTAGTGGTTACAAGTCCAGCTGCGAACTTCACAGTCAGCAGTTCAAAACTACCAGCTGTTCCACGGGAGAAAGATGAGGCTTTCTGCTCCCGTAAAGATTTACAGCCTCGGATACCATATACAGGGTCCCTATGAGTCAGAGCAAACTCCACAGCACATAACCACCACCACCAATGCATGTACAGGTACAACAAGTAATCATAGGTGCTTCGTATGCACTGGTCATCATTCATTTTAAAGATGGGCAGGATACTGGACGCTGGTTGTTGTTGTTGTCGGTTGCCATCAAGTCAGTTCCAACTCCTGGGGCCCCCATGTGTGTGGAGTAGAATGGCTTCATAAGGTTTTCAAAGCTGAGATCGTTCAGTCTCAAACCATTTGTCTAGAAGCACTTAAGCATTAGTGCCACCCAAGGACTCTGGACCCTGGCTGGTGCTCCCCAAATATTCCTCTGTCAAGTTTCATCCTGTTATTCACTGAATTGTTGTTGTTGTTAAGTGCCATCAAGTCAGTTCCAACTCATAGCGACTCTGTATAGGGTTTCCAAGGAGCAAATGGTGGGTTTCAATTGCTCACCTTGCGGTTAGCAGGTCAGTTCTGATTCTACAGTGCCACACCAGGATAGCCTCCCTACCCCCACAATGTGTTGTAAACCCTAACCTCTATGAACTGCCTCAAAAGCACTTAACAACATACTATGCCTCTGGTTATAATCCCATTTGGGAACCAGTTGTGGTTGTCATGTTAATGAGGGAGAATTAATGTAGGATATATCTTGAGTCAATTTCTTTTGAGATATAAAAGAAGTTGTTGTTGTTACATGCCATGGAGTCAGTTCCGACTCATAGTGACCCTGAACAGGGTTTCCGAGGCTATAAATCTTTATGGGAACAGAAAGCCTCATCTTTCTCCCGCGGAACAGCTGGTAGTTTTGAACTGCTGACCTTGCGGTTCCCAGCCCGATTCGTAACCACTACGCTATGGAAGAAGGTAAGATACCAAGACACATGGAAATCTCCAAGGAACCAGGAAGCGGAGGATGAAAAGACAAGGCCCTTCCTCCAGAGCCAACAGAGAAAACCTTCCCTAGAGTTGGTGTTCTGAAATTGGACTTCCAGCTTCCTAAACTGGGAGGAAATACATTCAGTTTGTCAAAGCCATCCACTCGCAGTAGTATTTCTGTTGTAGCAACACTGGGGAGCTAAGACACTTCCCATTTATTTCTTGTCCGGTTACTGGATCTAAAGACTAAGAGTTTGGAATACAAACTGTGATTGGGGAGGTCATATAGCAGTAATAACTGTAATCGCTCACACAATCACTCTGCCATGTGTGGTCTTGGTAGCACTGTGGCTAGACACTCTGCCAAAAACCAAAAGGTCAGTGGTTCGAACTCACCAACTCCTCCACAGGAGAAAGATGTGACAGTCTGCTCCTATAAAGGTTAAACTAACAAACAAAACAAGCAAACTCAGTGGCATACAGTCTATTCCAACTCATAACAACCCTTCACAGGGTTTTCAAGACTGGAAATCTTTATAGGAGCAGATGGCTTTATTCTACTTCCTAGCCTAGGAAACCCTGTGGGGCTTTATTTTTGTTGGGGTCTGCTTTGTTCGTGTGTCAGCTACTTTACGTGGATTTTACCTATGACGTCTCATGTAAACCCCAAGAGGACACTCAGGAGTTGTTCCCAGATGAGGTTTTTAGAGAACATCACTGGATCCGTTGCAGCAAGTGCATCCTCAGCACTGTTTGTGGGAAGTTGGATCCAGGGACACAGTTTTTATGCTTTTAAGAAGCCTCGAAGCCTCAACGATTCCGTCTTCAGAAAGCTTCCTCCAGTGAAGGCACAGTTCTTCCTTCATTCATTCAAGTATCATTAAGTCCGTTTTCCTGCAGCAGATACTGACATACACTTCCCTAGCTGCTTGCTCCTGGATATGGAAGAGACCCCTCTGGGAAGGTAGGCATGCCTTTTAGGAACTTACAAGTCCTTTTCAGGAAGGAGTAAAGAATCCCCTTAAGCAGGAAAATGAAAAGGTGACAAGGAAATGAGAAGTTTGGAGGAGACAGGACCGACTCAAGTCTAGAAGGATAAATTCTTTCCAGCAGGTCTGGAACTCAGTGGCCCATTTGTCTGCCATGGGGCTGAAGTTTCCGCCAGTTTTAACACCACAGGATCCCAGGATTGTGTCCAAAAGCCTGTGGGTTGTTGACAACTCCCTGCCTGCCCCCTGGAGGTACCACTAGAGAAGAGAAGGAGAGAACGCACAGGGAAGGAAGTGCTCTTTGGCATTTTTTCCCCACCACACCCTGCATCCCACCTGACTCCAGGGGCCCAGGGGTGCTACCAGGAGTAGGTGCAGGAGAACAGAAGTTTCTGCAACTAGCTCAGCCGAAGCTGGCCTGAAGCGTTCGCAGAAAGCAGAGTGGGGACAAAGGCTATCCACACACCGCGCCTCCTTTCCTGAGTCCCTGAAGTCCAGCAAATCTGGGGAACGGAAATAAGATCCCAGAGAGCTGAAGCAGTAGGAGGCTGCATTAAGGTGTCCAGGTTGGTACTTAGAGTGCAACCCCACAGCCAGGCATGCGCCCCAGAAGTAAATCCCGGAAAATGCGCTCCCACGCAAACCAAAGAAAATTGTCTTGGAAACTGAGCAGCATGCTCTGTTCCAGCTCCTGATTCCTCTGAGCATCAGTCCTGGGCGGTAGCAGTTAGTCCATGCACCCCGTTGGAAAAGCCAGTTCAGCCAGAGGCCCAACTCCCACACAAAGAACGTTCCAGATCCCTGAGCGCTCACCTTAGCAGCCGGTAGTTACCCTCAACTCACCACTGTATTAAGGGTGCAGGGCAGGCAGTGGTGCCTGGAGAACACCACTGGCTCCCCTGAGGCCTGGGTTCACCTCAGGCCTGAGCACCATGCTGAGGACTCCACTGGCGGTACAAACGGTGAGCCTGGCTCTGGTGCCCTTTGTGTACGCTGTGGCCATGAAGGGTAATGCATGATGGTTCTGGTGGTGGTCCGAAGCCACTACATGGTCACACCCACCACCTGTTACTTGGTGAGCCTGGCTGCCAGAGTGTCCACTGTAACTGAGGTAGTGCCTCGCCAGGTTTGGGTCTTCGGACACGTGGGCTGTTTAGGTATCACCTACCTGCAGTACGTGCGTGGGTAAGTGCTTCAACGGGTTCCATCACCCCGTTCACCGTGGAGTGCTTGCCATCTGCCATCCATGAGGGCCCAGGTGCTAGGCACTGGAGCACCAGCCAAGCGCATCGCAGCGCTCCTGCGGTTGGGTACTGGCGCCTACTGCGTGCTCTGGCTCTTCCTAGTGGACACACGTGAGGCCACGTACGCTGAGGGCGTGCAGGTACAGTGTGACTACCTCGCATCATGTTCTCTCTACCTTCCCGTCTACTTCCTGGACTTCATGCTCTTCTATGCATGTGCCACTGGGCCTGGCCACCGTGTTCAACTTACTCATAGCTCATGTCCTCTTCATCGGGCCGTTGCCTCCCGGTGACCCAGGGTGTGCGGGCTCTGTACACAAGGGCAGTTCCCGCTCCAGAGCCAGAAAGGGTGCCCTCAACTCCCGGAAGCAGGTAAGGACCTTGGTCCTTGCCGCCTTTGGTGGGTGGAAGTTTGAGCCCTTGTGGAGTCAGACTCTTCACGTTCAAAACCTGGTTGTACCACTCCTTAAACCTGTGTTTGGGGAGACATTGCTTTGCCTTTCTGAATCTAATTTCCTTTACTGTTACAGGAAGATAATGGCAGTGCCTAGCACTCATTTCCGGAGAAATGACATAATCCACATAACATCTTGAGTCCACTGCAGGTCACAAAGTAAGCACTCAATAAATGCTAGTTCTTACTATTTAAAGAATCCTCTGGTGATACAAAGGGTTAACAAGCCTGGTTGCTGTACAAAGGGTTTGAGGCTCAAGTCTACTCAGAGGAGCTTCAGAAGAAAGGTCTGGCAACCTACTTCTGAGAAATCAGCCATTGGAAAACCAATTCTATTGACACATGTGGTGTTCATGAGTCATTTGGACTCCAAGGCAATTGGTATTATTACAAAACCTCCACAACAGGAAGCTTGTATTGTAGCTGCTGTGATCCTAGGAGGTTCAGAGAGGGGAAGGGACTTTCTCAAGCTTGTATTAATTACTCCATCTGACTCAAAAGCTGCCACCATGGACCTGGAGAGCCTGAAGAGTGTGAAGGCTGCTGTGAGGCCAGCAGAGACCCAGCATTTATTGAGCGCTTACTGTGTGCCTGATTCTGTGATTGTTCTTTTGTTGTTGTTGTTTTTAAATGTAAATAGTGGCTATGTAGTGATCTATTAAAAACATGCATTCGTGTTAAAATTTATAATGTAATTCATACAATGCTTTGATTTTTAAGATACGGTTGAAATGTAAAGGAATAGTGAATATATTCACAGACATATTCTGAATTGCAAGTGGATTTCATATCGTCATTTTTAATAAATACTTTAAGAATTTCCCAGTAGACCAGCCCAGGATGGTAGATAGGCAGATGTACTACCAAGACTGTCTGCAACAAAGTCACAAGAAACCACGTGAAACAGGTAAGGGTGACTATACTGAAGCCAAAAGCTTCAAAAGAGAGGCTGAAGATACAGATCCAATATCTATTAGAGGAAGAAACTGAATGAAAACAATGAACCCTCGAGGAAGCATATGGAGTGAACTGCCAACTGTCTTCAGTGTGGCCATATTCATTATTGCAACAGTATTCTTACTGGGGAAGGAAACAAGTAACTAACTCTGCTCACCCAGAACTGCACCAGCAACCACACTGGTGATTGGTGGCCAGAAAGGTGCAATTTCCCTCTTTACCCCACACATCTTCCCAGTGACCAGAGCAATGTATACCTATCCCACCCCCACCCCCAGCAACAGCTAGTCAAATCCCCACACACATACTCCAATCCTGTGCCACTATTTTTTTCTTCTTTTATCTCTTTGTTTAAAAAAAAAAAAAAAAAAAACCTTGACT